CCAGCACTTGGCACAAAAACTGGATGAGACTTCTGCACAGGTGTTGCATATGCAGGATCCTGGAGGGGCTGCATCGCAGGAGAATCAAAGCAACATTAGAGATGATGCAGCCATGCTAGTTCATGAAGCAACCTTGGGCAGGGTCCACTTTATTCAAATTGTCATCAAAGCAAAGCAAAGCTTTGCACAAAGCTGCCTGCTCTTACATCGAATCCTAATGTATTTAAATTCTTGGAGCTATTATTTCCCCAAGTGATGGCAAATTTGTCAGTCTATCCATAGTTTTCTACAAACAAAATATAGACATTTCCAATTCAACATCTCAAAGCAGGTAAACTTTCAATTTATTCTTACACTTAAAACTATAACAGTTACCAGTCTAGTAGGGGGAAAAACCTTCCCAAGGCAACATATATGCAGGAATCTTTTTTGGCTAAAAGATCAGGAACCTAAAAGAGAAAGGGAAAGATCTGTAAAGTTTCCCTGCTTGGTCTTCATGAGATAGTTTCCTATTCACAACAGGTAATAAAGAAATAGTTATCTGTAGCTTATAATCCTCTTTTAATTTCATCATTAATAAAATAAGCTAGTTACCACCAAACAATTCCTTAAGTAAAAGCAATGTATAAGTATGACATTGGAGTATGACATTTGGAGCATCCAGAAACTACTTCTTAATTCAGCCCCCAGATAGGCAGTGAAGCAGGAGATGGTTTAGTACCATCAACTCATGGTACTAAAGGTGCTGAATATGGAAGGGGTCTTACTGTCATATTCAGAAGAGTCCTTTCCATTCGAAAGCAGGGCAAGGATGGTTGAATGAATGCTGGTGACTCAGGATGGAAAGCATTCATTCCATTTTGCTCGAATTGCACTGCTAAAAACCATCACTGCATATTATTCAATTCACTGCTTACTTCATAATGACCCTGCTAATTATACCCAATTAGCCAACACACAGAAAACCAGTACTTCAGATTGAATGGAAGATCCAAGATGTCATATTCCTTAAAGAATTTCAGTGCAAGGAAAAAAGTGTTCTTCTTGACAAATTAGAACCATTCACAATACAAGTTCCTATACTATTTGGAATGTTTTCATTAATAAACTAACAAGTCTAAGGTCCTGAGTCACAAAAGTGTAGCACAAACACTATGACTGCTTGTGTCAGTGCAAATGGAGAAGTACTGAAGTTGTCAAATGGACGAGGCAGCTCTGACTGTCTAAATAAATCCTTTGGCCTGCTGCTTTTAAAATGCTCTGAATCCAATACTGTGTGCCTTTAGGAAAGTTTTTGTCTGTCAGCAAAAGCCCTCTTCTCTCTGTGGAAAAAGGAATTACAAAAACTGTGGGTATGAAATGTATGTGAGTCAAGATGAAAATTGTTGAAATGAATATTAGCATTGAAAGGGATTCCTTTTTCCAAATTAATTAACTAGCATGGAGTGTAAAAAAGACCAAGTTTCTTCTATGATACGCAGACATAGTTTCACGTGGAATACATCACATATTTGAATGCATTATGTTGCAATGACTTCTCTGTCCCCCTGCACTGTCTTCTCTCAATTGCTCATCCTCTTTTCCCATGCAACCTGGCTATTCTGGTTGTACAAAGAATCCATTCTCTCTTTCATCTGAAATCCAACCAAAATATCATAAAAAGAGTATGCAAGCTTTCAGTTTACCTAGGGCTCTTCATCAGCTGCGATAACAAACAAAGCAGGGTGAGTTTGTTCATTGTTTCATGACTTTTTTGTTTGTCCAAATGAATAGTGCCAGAATGTAGATTCTAACATTTTGCTTATGGATCATGATAATTTCCTTTGCTTTTTAAATTTTGTATTAATTCAGTAGACTTCTACTCATGTTGCTAGGAATATGTCCCACAGAACGCAACAGCACTTACTTCCAAAAAGGTGTGTACCAAACTGACCCTCCCATAAGATATCTTGTATAGGTACTGAGAGGGAATTAAAACCCTGGAAGATTATTTACTGAGGCAACATTGACACAGCTCTCTTCCTGTTCCAGAACCAGCAGGAAACCGCTCTGCCCTAGGTTTTGCTGTTTTTATAGCAAGCCCTTACCATGAACCCAGAATGGTTCTGTGCGGTGCTCTTTTCTGCACAACTTTAATGCACAACACTCAAGGGCCATGCTGAAATTCTAGCTCTGTCCAACAATATCCACCATGTGAAAATCCTCCTCCTGCTGGCATGCATGATCATTACTACACACACTACACACACACACTGCATTTGTTTTCTTTCCCATTGTATTGCCAACTGAATTTTTAAATCCTTGAATTTATGTCAGCTGCTTGCCTATTTGCTATACTGGCCAACAGATGGCAGCCAACACTTGGGATTTTGTATCTCTTGGCTGCTCTCTAGTGGTTGCCTGGATTTGGGCAGTCACTGGATAAGGACTGCTGAACGACTGGAGTTTCAGAAAAGGGAATGACTCTGGGGATCCATGTAGGTGATGTAAACTACCCTAAGAACATTACGTGAAGGGAGGAAGTAAGGAACCAGGGATCCTGGGGGCAGTAGCCACTGGGAAGGGTGTATCCAACCTGGCTGGCTGGGGAATTCTGGGAGTTGAAGTCCACCCATCTGAAAGCTGCCAAGATTGAGAAACCCTGCTCTAGGGTGACCAGTCAACCAACTCATTGGAAAAAAGAGGAAGAGGGCAAGTGGCTGTGGAAGCCACAGTTCTGATCTGCCTCACAGCCAAGAGGACTGAGGGGTGGAAAAACAGGTCAGGAACCAGGTGGAAGGGATGGTCTCACAGGAAACTAGAAGAACCAATTGGAGAAAGAAGCAAAGTTGCCAACACAGACCATGTCATTTCAAGCTGCCTCCCCCTTCAGCGCATCCTACATTGCCAGCACACAGCTTCTGAAGTGAGAGACCAGAGAAAAGACCACTTCCCAAGAACGCTCACGCCATCCTCAAGTTGCCTCAGCTATGGGTCGACAATGATATATAGGTGATAGCATACAGAAATGTTCTCTGCAAACAGTTAGTGGACCTCTTCACCCCAGGGCAAGGCAACTATGTAGACCTGCCCACAGCATGGGAACTTGTGACATGGATTGTTCAGGATTTATCACTATGAAATATAATAGCAAGAACCTGTATCTACCCTATGATACAATTTATAAGGTGATATTGGATCATACATGCAAAAACTCCAATCCTGATTATACTGCAAATGACATAGTATATTCAGTGTTTGTCTGAGGTTCTTAATTGCTCCAAAGAGGGATATATAGGTTGCAAAATATTTTACTTACTTATTGTTAGTATTTCTTATCCCACCTTTACATCAGTGTTTCTCAATGTCAGGAACAGTTGTGCGGATTTCAACTCTCAGAATTCCCCAGCTAGCATGCTGGCTGGGGAATTCTGGGAGTCGAATGCAGACATCTTAAAGTTGCTGACATTGAGAAATACTGCTCCAAGCTTAACTCAGCACATTTAATACCCATTCTTCCAATTCTTCCTAACAGCAAAAGTCCTGTGAGGTAGGTTGAGTTGAGGAAGACCAAGTCACCCAATGAATCTCCATGACTGAGTGGAAAGGAGGCTAGAACCCAGATCTTCCCAGTCCGAAGCTCAGCCACTTGTCCTACACTGGCATCTATCTAATCAATCAATCAATCAATCTAAAAACTGTGTGAAAGAGTTCAGCTTTAGCTCTCCATGCAGAAATATTCCATGTGTTTCCTGTAAGCTCTGGATCCATGTCAGTTAGCAAATTTTTAATGCTTAGTGGAATCTTAAAGTGCTTTCCGAATTAGGATAACAGTAAGCTTTTGGTATTACAAAGCCACTTTCATTCAGTATAATAAAAAAAGTCTTTATGTGGGTTTAATAGCCCAGAAGTTTTTATTCTTCCCCAAATACATGCTTATTTCATTACTTGTGAATAGGCTGTCTCTCACAGTTCATTACACAGCACAATGTAGGTAAAATATTTCCTTGAATTATGTCTGCTGGAGCCACACCAAGCATGCAATCTTTGTTAATATATGAAACAGCTGTAAACTGGTTCATGTAACTCAGAACTCCTTCATCTGAATGGAGGCAACTCTCCAGATCTTTCCTAGCCTGAGATACAAGGATTAAAGTAGGGCCTTGTTGAGACCAGGAGAATCCATTTTTAACCCAACAGACTTTCTCTTTTTCACACGCAGCTGTTCTATCAGGATACATACCAGAGACCACAATGCTGAAGATAATGGGCTGCTCATACAAAACAGATCTTCAGGATCTAGCTCTTATCATGAAAACTTATCATAAAAAGTTGATCAGTACATGTTGCCATCTTGACAAGGTTTTTCCCTATTCTCCCAAATATGGGCCTAATTGAATGACTATGACCTGCAATACGGGAGTGCAGCTTCACTTTTATATGGAACGAAATAGTCACTCCACGGCACCTTTAATCAGCCATACCAATTCGCAGATCCATGTTCTGTTCCTACTTCTTCTACAGGTGAGATGTTGTCGAACCTACGAATCCCGCCCCCTACCTTCCACCGCCCCAGACCACGCCCATGGGCTCACCCTGGAACTTGTGCACGTGCGTGCGTCTGCTCGTTCTCATTTGTGAAACGCAGGAGGAGAGGTTGACCTCGGCGAGCCTTCGAGACTGAACCCTCCGCAAACTGGGGGCGGTATCCGAACTCACCACTAGGCCGAGATGGGTTCCCCCAACCCACCGCACCAACCTCGTTTGGTTTTCTTTTCTCCCTCAAGTTCCCAAGCGCTTCCCAGTTAGCCAGCCACCCAGCCAAAGGTTTGCAAAGGCAGAAACTTCGAACTGGCGGCAAATAGCAGCCGCCCCTCGCGCGCTTCCCGAAATCTTCGCAGCAGCTACGCGCCGAGAAACTTGCCGCCGTCTTACTTCAAGCTGAGCCCCCCATCATCCTCATCCTTGTCACACACAAACCCCACCCATTTCCCCGACGACCGCAGGCGGCCTCCCTTTACCTGGCGGAGACCGTGACCTCCACTTTGGTGGCAGGAATGCTGCCCGTGAGAGGGTCGAAGTCCTGCACCGACGCCATGTCCTCGAGTTTGTCCAGAACGTCCTCCTCCATGGGGGACACGGAAGAGCGGCGCCTCTCAACAAGTCGCCGAGCGCCGGCTACCCGGGGAGACCAATCCGCCACAGAGCCCTAATCGTAGCCCCGGCCCAGCGGGCGGGCGAACAGGCGCGCTCTCCCTGGCTCTGCCTTGACGGTGTGTGTTGCCTCACTCAAGCGCTGCTGACCCGCGCAGCAGCCGGGCTTGAAGCGCTGGCGGCGGCTAGAAGCAAACCGGGCTTTGAGAGCTAATCGGAGGTCGCGCGCACCCTCTCGCCACGCACGCCGCGATTTCAGAAGGAAAAGGGCTTTCTTTTTCCAAGTCCACGGACGGAGATTTCAGTGAAGCTCCACCTCCTTCAAAATAAAATCGCTGGGGCGCCTCAGTCCAGTGCTGCTCCTACGGCAAAGAGGGGGACCCCAGCACGATCCCCCGCGGGAACCTGTTTCCCCGCCGCACACCCTTTCTGCGCCGGTGCCCGGGGGAGCGCCGGCCTCGGAGCCGCGGGGGGCTGGAAGGAGCCTTCGCAACTGCAGGGCAGCCGCTTAAACGCGCGGGGATTTGGACGTGCGCTTCTCCAGGGGCGGAGGGCGAGGGCTCTTTGTCTCTGTGGAGGTGCCTGTGTCATGGCGCGCAGTGGCTTAGGGATTGCAACCTTCTCCAAGCCGGTGGCCGGAGTCACAGTCCAAAGCAGCCGGAGGGCGCAGGGTTGGAGGAAGCTGTTTTCGTAGCATTTGAAAGTATGCGAACTAGCTAAGTGCCACACCCTGATGTGATGTGATTTGAAGGGGACCTTGAATCAGAGACTGGGCTGTGGCAAGGAAAAAAAGGCACGGCGGGCTGGGGAGTGCGTGTGGCACAAGCGTGACGTGAGAAGGAATGCATTCCATACACGCATGTTCCTATGAACACAGCAGTGTGCGCTACGCAGACATGAGCAGGCCTAAGCAAACCCAGGCAGCGCACAAGGCAAACGTTCATACAGGACGTGTGAAGTCTCTGGGAATGTGTGACTGTGGCAGAGATAAATCATAGCACAAGGCCATCGGGAGAACTCATGCCCTCCATATGGAGATGCCCTTGGCCTGCTCACTAGCACCAAGCTGCAAGTCCAAGGCAGGAGGCACCTTAAGCTAAGCTCTAGTCTAGAGTGATTGTCTGTGCCTCCAGGGTGTGGGGATGTTTTGTTTTCCTTTTTCTTTTTCAACGTCTTAAAATAAAAATTAGTTTCCAACTACCTGGCTATATTACCCAAGTAAGGTAGCAAATCATCACAGAGCTACCCAGCACTGTGTAGACTTGGTGACTGTCAGAAAGCAGGAAATAAATTTAACATGGAAGAGAACCATCAAGAAAGTGAGCCAAGCCACAGACCATACATCAGTTCAACATACATTTTATGATCAATAAGCATGTAGAAATTTGTCTAGAAGCATTTGCCCATTTAGAGATACCAAAACATAGAAAGAGAGATGCCCAAGGCCAGGGGTGGAGTCTGAGATCTCAGTCACCAAATCTTGCAGCCTTCAAATCAGGGTGTGAAGCTCAGCCCCATTTTGTATATCCTGATCTTCACGGGGCTGCCTCTGAGTTGGTAGATTCCAGCCGTGCAAAAACACCAGAAGCCAGAAGGGGCAGATTTCCGCATACATGGGCTACCAATTGGTGGCCAAAGGCTAACATTTAGGGCTGCAAAGTAGATGGTGTCAGGTCACATTTGGAAGAGCTAGATTTTGTAGATTTTCTTGATTTTTAAACAGTCTTTTTTTTAAAGTCTGAGACTAAATTATCATCTGCTTTCCATCTCAAAATGATAGGAAACTGCCATATGTTTTGTTAGAAGAGGCACTGAAGGCTGCAGAAAAGTCATTTAAGGCCAGGGTTGCCCATTCCTGCTGTAGGGTTCAGATTTCAGCAGGAGGGTAACCAGCTGAGCAGCATAAAGAGAGAAATCACAGGTGAGGGGAGGTTTAAATGGCTATGTGTATGGCTGGAATGATGGATGAGTGTGAATGCAGTTGTATAGATAAGCGTGAGCTGGAGAAGGTGTGAATATATAGTAGAGAGTGAACTATTTAGCTTTGTTCTGCCCTGTGTTGTCCAATGTCCCATTGCTATATGACACATTCTGTGTACAGCATGCTTTTTAAAATTTATTTACTACAACATTTATATCCCACTAAACTCCACACAGCTTTGGTGACATGCAGCTCTCAATTTAAAGTGATGTCAATTCTTATTCTCCTTGGCTTTCCAAGGTCCCAAGCCTAGTTGCAGCAACTATTTCTGTTTTAGGAAAATGCTATTTAATAGCAGTTATGCCTGACTACATAGCTCTGTCCAGTCATAATACTGATGCATTATGAGGCAATTGCTGATCCTGCATCCCAAGCACAGACTAGCTGGTGTGGCACAAGGGCCACCATTGCTTACAAATTTTTATAAATCTCCAAATATGTTTTTTCCTCCCTCAAAAGTGTCTAATGTTGTGATTTTTTTTAATGCATTAGAGAATGTTGCTTAGAAGTTGTTGTTATTGGTTGTTGTTTTGTTTTTCTTTTGGGGGGATGTTGGTTTTTATTGTTTTGTATGTTCTTATCACTGCTGTGAGCCACCCAGAGTTATGGCAGCCACGTAAGCCTCATAAACAAACAAACAAATAAACAATATTACTCCTTTTTGTTGCGCAGGAACAAGATAGTATTATAAATGGCAAGCACACAAGCAGAATTTTATAGGATAGGAATAAAAAGGAGTTTTGTATCAAGAAGTGGTCTAATTTAGAGTGTTGTGGAAAATGTTCTATTATTCAAGTTCTGTATAAGCAAACAGCAATAATAGAAAAAAGCAACAGGATGAGAATTTAGCATATTCCCACTCTCTAACTCCACCTTCTTTCTATTATCATAATATTAGGTCATATTCTTCATGCTGTGTTCACATTAGCCTAATGTAACCAAACAGCAGCCTATGAAAAAAATAAAGTTTGTGAGTGATGCAAGCAATATTCTTCTGCCCACCCCACAATCACAAAGACAACGCCCTAAGCGTATATTTGACCTAAATAGTTGAAAACAATTTCATGCAAGACATGATTTTTTATAAAGGGCTGGAGAGTAAAGGAAAGTATTTTCAACTTTTTGTAGCTAATTTGACCATTATTATTTTTAAAAGATTATTTGAGAATTTGTTTAGTTTTCCATGCTTTGCTTTACAAACTGTTTTTAGACTTTTAATATTGCTGAATCACAGCACAGAAGCCAGAAATGCAAATCTGTAACTTTCTTTCTGTAAGAAATTATCTACTGCATGTTTATGTAATTCAATCATATTTTGTTAAATTTCAGTATGAAATAAAATCTAGATGGCTTTAGCAGATAAAGAAAACTGTTCTATCAAGGAACTTTTATTATACTGGCAACAAAAATAAAACCTGCCATCACGTCATCATGACTGTAATAATCAATCTTCATCCTTATGCCAAAAATTTCAAGTGAAGGGAAAAAATAGCAAGGATTTCTACAATAAAATCTTCATGTATATCAAATATAATCCAAAAACGTTTTTCAGTTATGATGATTTGGGCTATAATTTCATTATTTCTTACCTGGAAATAAGGCCAGTTGGATTTCAGGGTGTTTATACCTGGGCCAATTTGTACTGAATGTGCAGCACTTTACAAAATGTTGGTTAACCAAACTGCACAGGATTAATCTTACATTGAAGTTGCGAGCTTAACAAAGAATTTCCTGCTGAGCAATTCTAAATCAAGCTGACATTCATCAATAAAATGATAATGCTTGGTATTTTTTTTGTTTATCAAAACTGAACTTTTTAATGAAATATATAATTCATCAGTATACATATTTAATGAAGATCCAAAAGAAAGTGATACAGTGATGAATTTATAATAGAAAATAATAGCTTTTATTAGAAAAGCTGGAGTAATTAATCTGAAAAAAGTTGACATAGTGTAGATTACAAATGGATCATCATAGTATACCCCCAAAATAGGGGTTTTCATTCTTTGTAGTACTGTGATCCACTAAGATGATAAATGAATTTCTGTGATATCCAGTAAAACAAATGGCTTCATTGGGGTTAGGATTGGCCAAGAAATAAATATATCTCTTATTTTAATAATTAATTTTTAATTTAGATAACAAAACAATTACAGAAGATTGCAACTGTATATATAAAGCCCTTTCATTGGAAATGAACAATAAAACACATTTAAAAGTGAGCTTGCTTACTTTTCCATAGTTCCTAAAAACTGGGCTTTATTTTTGAGATAATGACTCTCAGTTCTAGTCCCATGGGGTTTGGGAATCAATACTTGGTCTTTATAGCAGAGCCGTAGACAATCTTGACTTTGCTGCCAGCTTGTCCAGGCAGAGGGGGAGTAAGCTCTGCCTGTGATTTAGTTCTACATGCTTAAGTCTTCAAGCCTTGCTCCAGCCTTTGCTCTTCACTTCTGACCATTGGTTTCTGTAAGAAAAATGGGAGCATGTTCTGACAGTGATTTCAGGTACACAAGCCCTAATCCTTGAGGATACAAAGCTGGAGCCCCATTAAAACCCACTCTAGAATTTGCTTAGATAAGCTGGCTGCCAATTGGCTCAGGCAAAGTAAAAGCGAGTCCTGCCAGTGATCCAGCTTTGCTCATCTAGACCTTCAGGACATCGGCCCTCCCTCCCCCACCCAAATTTCCTCTCCACTTTGCTTGGTCAAGCCAATAGCAAATTCTGCCAGTGATCTTGTTTTTCATATACAATGTATGGCCCCTCTTTTTGAGAACCCCAAGAAACCATCATCTTGTCACGAAGCATAAAGGATGATTAGTCACTCACTGTTCCCTTGACATGGTCTTCAAAATACTTAATTGTAAAGTATTATCTGATTATGGTAGAAATGCTGTCCATGTTGATATGATCTTCAACTCAAACTCAGAATTCATGTATCGTATGGTTTTGTGTCTTCTTAAATGCCTACATGGGGAATGTTTTATTCCTCTTACAGGAATCATCCAAGATAAGCTTTTCAGGTTTGGTCAAGGCCCACAGGCTTCTTAATCAGCAAAGAGCCTTTTGTTGTCTTGCTTACATTTTACTGACATTTGCTGTTTGTAATGCGAATAAAACGTTTCTTCATGTTAACAAAAGATAACACTGGTTAGAAATCTATCATTTTGCTATGCATAGTGTCACTACGGTCATCATTATCTACATCCTCACCCTCATCCTTTCATGTTGGAATAATGCAGACAATTAAAACTAGAGAATGAATCCCACATAAAAGAAGCATTAACCCATTTTATCATAATGCAAAAATTACACAATATATATTATCTTTACTTCCAGGATTACAGGTGATGAATCTGGATGTAGGAGGCATATGAATTAATCTTCGTTTGCTGCTATGTATATTGGAACAGCAGCAAATGTTTTCTAATTACTCCATGGAAGGAATACATTAGAAGAACAAGCAAAACCCTTCATTTATAACTATATTGTCAAGATACACAGAAATGGACATTTCTAACCAGGCTGGTACAGATTTGCATGAACCATATATAGGGTGTTTTTGGAAAATCAGTCTCTGGTTGTATATCCAAGCTTCTTTTTAAGAGGGATAGAAGATAGTCTATTCAGTCTTTATCTCTCTTTCTTAAAATAGCACCATGAAGATCACAAACTATGCTTTAAGAGTACTTATTTCTCTAAT